TACATATTGATCTAAGCCTGGCATTCAATCCTAGTGACCTAATACATAATATGTGATCATTTTAAAGCAGAAATTCTGTTCTTAACTATAAAAACTTTTGAATTTTAAGATGTGTATAATTTTTTATTGCTATTTTCACTGCTAAGCGACTAGTATGTCTGGCTAGATAAGGTAGAACAAAGTCAACGTTAAGTCCATCCTATCATAGAAAGCACATAGAGCTATTGATGAACTCCGATTTCAATTAAATAAGCAGATGAAGATTATGCCATATCTGTGAGTCCATTGCAGGTTAATCCCAGTCACACGCTTGTATCAACTGTCCAGCTGGACAAACTGAAACAGTTGGGATAACGTGACTCAGTAGGACAACGTGGCATTATATAAAGGAAAGAATTAGCGTTTTTTGGTTTCCTCATATTATTTCCTTATTATTCTGTTAATAACTTTCAATGGAAAGCCGTTCTTTAGTAAGACCGTTTTGGTTTACATTAATTCAATTTGATGATACATAACATTAATACACAAGTGAAAAGATCTGTGGATTAGAACGTATACACCAATTTTTTTTAAGATATTGGAAATAAAGCTTTCAAAATAAAAATGTAAACCGATAAAAATAGTTTTCTGATAACAGTCCACTTCCAACCACTTACTATTGATTGTAATTTTACTGTTTTGAAAGAGAACTTCTGGATTCACTTGTTCTTTTACTGTAAATTTAACACCTTCATGTTGTTGGTTGAGATAATCAACATATATTTCGTAAAGCAGATGTTTGTAATGTCTAGATAGTTCTCTAACCATTTTGTTTCATTTTTACGTAGGAACAAGTTAGCCAAAGTAGGGACAAACCTTGACCCTATGGCAATACCAGAATTTTGATAACACATTTCACCACTGAAAATAAAATTAGACTTTTTGGTAGTAACTCAAGTAACTTGTGGAACGTATACATGGTAAAGCCATTTAATCTTCGATTCATTTTTATAAACAAAGTCAAACATCAGTTTTTCACTTCATTGTTTGTATGTAGAGATACCATATTAAAGCTAGCAAAAAAAACTGCACTATCAAATATTAAGTCTTTAGCAAACGAAACAGCTTCGAAACCTAAAATTAAACTTCTTTAAACAAGCCTGAACATAATTCAGTGTGTTTCGTTTTCAAAGGATGAAAATGCGTTATCGTTAGAATATGAACTTTGGACTCAAATTATAAACGACTGAACTCCAAATGCCTCAAGAAGATAGCATTACTTGTTGAAAGCTAACAGTCTACGAACTTTCTATGTTTTTTGTTTTTGTTGTTGCGTTCATTAACATTATAACATTATTTCGTTTTAAGCTATTTATTTATAAAAGTAAACAAACAAGGCTGGAAATAGTGTCTACATTATTTTCTCAAGCTACAAATCCCAATTTTTGACGCCACTAAAATTGATAAGTATTGTAGACATGGAAAACACTGGATTTTTTATTATATATATATATATAGGAGAAAGTGGGGGATTTAGAAAAATTCACAACACAAGATTAAAGAGGTCGAATTAAGTTTAAAACTACTCTCTCAGTTTTTATCAAAATTCCTCTGCGATCTACAGTAGATTTCAGTTGCAATAATTTTATATAGTGGAGTCATAATAGGGATTTGTAGCTTGAACAAACTGTCAGCAGTAGATCTCTAGCGTTATTTGCTTACTTTTTCTGCGATCACTATTTGTGGATTTGAAATTCTCAATTTTCAGTTATCTAGTGTGTTTTTAATGCACAGCAATGGGCAAGTTTATTCTTAGAGTAAGACACAACCGGTGGTTAAGGAGCTCGACTCGCAATCTACGGGTCGCGGGTTTGAATCACTGTCCCACCAAACATGCTTGCCCTTTCAGCAGTGGGGGCGTTATAATGTGACGATCAATACTATTGTTCGTTGATAAAAGAGTAGCCCAAGAGTTTGCGGTGGGTATGGATGACTAGCTGCATTCCCTCTAGTCTTACACTGCTAAATTAGGGACGGCTAGCGCAGATAGCCCTCGTGTAGTTTTGCGCGACCTCCACTAATCGCGTATAAAATTTTACCGGTAGAAAAGCAGCCTTTTAAAATAAAGCCAGTATGTCCAAAACACCATTTTAAATAAAGCTTTGCGTCCTTTAAAATAATTATTTATTAAGCCAGGTGGCTTTGTGTAAACACGCGTTTATTATGCATTTATAACCATGTAATTCAACTTTCAATGAAAAATAATCAACTTTTAAATAGGTCACTTTCCCATTTTTAACAAAAACTGATCTAAACCATATTCTAGTGCTCCGAGAAAAGAAAGCGTACCTATGTTAACCACAGTATCACAAACTTGTTTATTCTTCTTTCTTTATTTCCAAACCACCCTCGACAGTTAATTCCACATCTGTCGATAAAAACCACAGACACCTCGTTAGCTCGCGGTCGAGGTACAACTACTACCAAATCGCCTGAGAATCATACATGTTTAAGCGCAAAGTCATGATACATAGCGCTGACCTCAATAAAAACTGCAACTGTCATAATACATATCCAATAACGAAGCATTTCCAACAGTAGTTCCCGCTGTATAAATTCTAAACAGTTATTTGACAAAAATGTGTGTGTGTATGTGTTTGCTTATAACTGACCAACCACTGGACCGATTTACAACAGTCTTACCATGTAGCCTTAAGTCCCCCTGGAGAATGACATAGTGAGTTCAGCTTTGAGATCTTACCCCTTATGTTATCGCCAGGGGCCCATGTCTTTCCCACATGCATTGTGTCCATGAATAGTTAGCAAACTGCTGGACCAATTGTCACTAAACGTGGTACGTACCTATAAGGAGCCCTGAAGAAGAGATATAGGGGAGTTAGAGTTCGGATATGACCCCCACCCTATTTCATCTGGGGCCCCTATTTCTTCCAGGTGTTATGAAATGGCGCATCAGCTAATATTACTTGTACAGCAGAAATGGTAACTTACAAAAAAGTTACCCCATGTTACTTAAAATTAAAATCTGCAAGAAGAAAAGAGAACTTTAAGAAATTCGTTGCTTACTATAACTTTTGTCAACTGAGGTATCACATTTCAAATGTCGAAATTCTCGGTTTTTTACTTCAAGTATTATTAATAATGTAAGTTCTCGAAACGTGGTAAAATGGTTAGCGAAGGCATCCTTCTATTGAGTTGAATCATTGAAACCTTACCTAGTCTCAATTTACACTTCATAAAAAATTATACCTTCATATGATGGTGTTCCACTCTTAAAATATGTACCTTTGTATTTCTTGTCTCAGCTCAAAAATTATGACATTCAATCATTTTTTTTCCTTTCATCAGTTAATTACAAAGTTAATTGCCGCCAGTGGCTTAGTGGTAAACTTGATAGCTTATAACACTAAAAATATGGGTTCGATACTC